CCCGGGGGGAGGGAGCAGCAGCAAGAGCAGCAGCAACCGCAGGAGCCGGAGCATGGTGCCCAGAGCCGCCGGCCCACTGCCGAAGGGAAATGCCAAGCCGGGAGGGAGGGAGAAGGGGGGGGTAGGGGGAGGAGAAGGAAGGAAAGATGGAGAGGAGGAGGGAGAGGAAGAGAGAAGGAGTAAGCGAAGCCTAAGAAGGCTGCTGGGCTTAGGCCTGCCGCGGGGAAAACCAAAGTGAGACCGAGAGAGAATTCCGAGGGACACGCGGGTCTAGTGTGGGTAAGAAAGGGAAACGGAGAAAGGAGGGTGAAATGGGGGATCTGGAAGGCCTGTGCTGTGGGGGTAATTTCGTTCCCATCTATCCTGGGGCCCTGGGAAAGATTGCGGACGCCCCTCACACACGCATCTACCCAGGTTTCTGCCAACCCACCGGGTTCAAAGAGAAGGATCTTTGGAAGGCAGCGTGAAAGAAGGTGACTCCGGGCTTGGGACTCCAAAATTCTGGCCCCCAAACTTTTCACCCAGAAAGTGAGCGCCTGGGCACATTTAGGGGAAGTGAGGGTTGAATACTTCTAATTTGAACAAAGATCCTTCAAACTATCACATTCAAGTGTCCAGTGCCCCACCCCAGCATATATATGCCCGTTTCTCCTGTCTGTCTGTCGGATGGTCTCTTTCTGTAACTCTTTTCCCTGTCCTGTTTCCATTTTGTCTTCTATGAGCCACTCCCCCTCCCCCAAGCCACCGACCATACCCTTGGCCACTGCGACGACGCTGGAAACCAGGGTTCCATGGCAATACTTCAGCCTTTAATACGTTTTGCTAGGGTGAAGATGGGTGAGGAGGGTGTCTGGTCACTTGGATGGGAGAGAGCTGGAACCCAGATCTAGCGACCAGCTCCCCGGAGGCAGCTGCCATAGGCTCAGGGCCAGAATGAGGAGTGAGCACCCACGCCCCCTCCTCTGAATTAAGCGGCCCGTGTGGCCTCACAGGGTCAGCTGGGAGAAGATGGGGTTGCCTGGGCCCCAGGGTCTTCCCCAAGCCCTTGAACTCCCCTCGCTGCCTGTCAGAGAACAGCGTCTCCCTGCACTTAGCCCCAAAGGAAGTCCAACAGGTCGGCTATCAGGAGACCCAAGGGAGAGGCGTCGAGGTGAAAAACCCAGTGGCCTGGGCCTACGAGGAGAGGGTCCTGGTGAGGCCGTTGGAGAAGGCAAAGGTGTTTCATCGATGAAGGTGGTGATCTCCTCCCGGAAGAAACCAGGACCTCGTGGGGGTCCCCCACCCGACCCCAGAACCCCACTTTCTAGGAACTGGCGAAGGCTGGCTAAGCCCCCGCCCTCAGCCTCTTCCTCATCCTCTTCATCCCCCAGCCTGTGTCTCTGTCCCAGGTATTCAGGAGGGCCCCCGAGGGCTCGGCTCTGGGCTGGGAGGACACGGATGTCGTCCGATGATGACCATTTGTGCAGGAAGGAGCCTGGTGCCCGGGGAGTAGAAAAGATGTTGGTCTCATCATGGGACAGTCGGCGGGACAAAGGGACCTGGAAGTGGAGCAGGTGAGACCTGGAGGTGCTGCAGAGACCAAGGGAGACGTAGCAGAAAGCAAAGTGGGGGCCTCTGCAAGGCGGCTTCATACTTTTCCATTTCTCCAAGGCATTTACTCTAGTAGGCAAACCTGGTTCTGAGAGAGCCTCTCTTTCCCCCGTCTTTCCTCCATCTGCCCCCTAGGGTATCCTGCAGTCCAAAGCCATGGAGTAGGGATGCAGAGGACCAGAGAGGAGGGGACCCCCCTTCGTCATACCTGTAAATAGTGGACTCTCTCAAGAGGCGGGAACAGCATGTGCCGGCCGGGCAGCAGCTTCACCTGGGTGGGGTCCCGACCCCCTGACCCTGTGGCTCCGTTAGCATCAAAACGAATTTTGCACACTCGGCCGTCTGTGTAATCATCACAGGCCCCATCTGTGATGAGAGAAACAGTGAAGCGGTTATAGGCAGAGACCCCCACCCTCTCCTCATCCCCTTGACAAGGAGGAGCTTTTGGTTCCCATTAGTCTGTAAGCCCCAGGCTAGCTTTATCCCAGTTACAGAGTCCCTAGTCCTTAACACAGACTTTTTTTTGCTTGTTCTCCACGAATTGTCTAAAGAGCAGGGACTCTCTTTCAGGAAGCTTAGCGTCCCTCTAATGTCACTTTGCATTAGGACAGAGCACCCTGTCCCTGGAGCTCTGCTTG